AACAAAAGAGAAGACATTGGCACATATTGGAGATTTTTTAAAAAAATGATTTGAAGAAATTTGGGCAAAATACAAACAATCAAAGAAGAGATGAAAGAATATTTATGGTGAATTATTAGTAGTTATTGAAAACCAATAGAAGACTAGATAAGATGATGAAATTAAAAATGAGTTGCGTGCTCATTCCCGCCTCACCTGGTGCTCTGCCTGCCCCTGGGGTGGTAGAAATCAGAGGCTCTGAAGCACCCCAGTAAACGGAGCAGCACACTGACCTGGTTGGTTTCAAGTGATTCTTGATGAGGATTTTTAGGCTGCTTAATTTTAAAACGGTTTATGACAAGGATTTGTAGGCTGGTTACTTTTAAAACTACAGATAAGAAGCAGGCTCCGAGGAGTGGAATTTGCTTGCCCTTTGATCAGAGACAGTTGTATTTGTGAAGGAAATCTCCATGCCTCCCTCTCTGCGCCAGGAGGAAGGGGGGATGGCCTTATCTCTGGAAACTCTTAATGGGGAAGGCAAGAACTTAAGTTGTTTACTGTATGGCAACCTCATGTAACTGACCCCCCACCCCAAAATCCTCCTTTGTCTTTAGTTGAAGATAGTATTTGAGTGGTGACTTCTGCCATTTACTCAATCCCGTTTGATTCTTATCTAAAAGTTGTGGGACTGCCCAATGGCCGGACCCTACCGGCACTGGTACAATTTTAACTTTTTTTTCTTTGTCTCGTAAAGAGATAACTCACATACCTATGCCTTAAATTTAGCTCTAACCCTCAACTTGGGGCAGCAGAAGCTCTGACTGCCCATGGGTCCTGTCCCCATGCTATTCTATACTATTCTCTAAATAAAAGAGCACTACTGCCAGATCTTAAGAGTCTAAGAAATCTTTCTTTCGACTCCTCGGCTCACCGACCCTGCATCAATTCTCTCTTATTCATAATTTTAATGAAAAACCTTTAAATGTGGCTGTGCCTGCACTGGTATTTTCCGTGTCATAATTAGAGGAGAAACTAAAGGTTAAACACCCCCCAGAAGTGCCCGCATCAACTCCTGATGGGATGTGTCCGTTTTCAGCTATGGTTATTGCAGTTAATTTTCCATTCCGGTGGACTAATACAAGTTTGATGTGTTGATATTAGCATTTGGATTGATTCTGCAGAAAGCGTTTTGAGTTAAGTGTTATTACAGTTTCTCCTCCCCTACTACGTGAAAACTAAAGAGATTTAAGAGATGTTCCGACTCTATTTAACCAGCGCTGTTCTAATTAGAAAGCATCCTGCCTCCTAAGGAGTTGGTAATGATTATAAAACCCTGTGTTATTTTCTTAAGAAGGTAAAAGGAAGCCAAGTCAGTTGAGGCTGGATCATTTCCTGAGTATGGCTGTATCTTTGGTCCTTCCCTGCCCTCAACATGATCCCTTAAATGGCACAAGAAATTCTTACCTGGTGTCCCCAGGCCCCGCTGACTGACTCCAGCCTCCCCAACTACTGCTCTCCTGCTTCCACTTTTACGTTTCATTCACTCCAAAAATGCTCTCTCTCCTGATGTAAAGGATATTGAGTGTAGCAGCAAAGAAAACTGTAAACAGATTCATTAAAAGAAACAATCGCCCATCTGAAAAGGAAAACAACCTTCGCCTCACGTCTCCCTCCACAGCTACCAGCTTATTTCTCTGCTCCCCTTTTCAGCAGCTCTTGAAGTAATTGCCCTCATTCACTGTCTCTGTTTCCTCTCCTCCAGTTCTTTCTTGAAACCACCACATTCAGCCTTTCGTCTCCACCGCTGCGCCACACTCTCATACCGGTCATCCATATTGCCCAGCCAAATGGTCAAGTCCCTGCCGCCCACTGCCTGTCAGCGGTATTTACACAGCTCATCACTCTTTCTTACCGGACACACTTTCTTCCCAAGGTGTCGGGACAGAATTCTCTCCCCTCATTCTCCTCCACTTCAGGAGCTGTTCTCCTCTGCTTTGTGGGGTCTTCCTACCGACCTGACCTTTAAACGGTGACGCGCTCCAAGGCCCAGACTTGTCCAATCTATCATTGCTCCCCAGGGAATCTCACCCAGCCATTCAAAAGAATGTGTGATACACGTCGTTATGGGGCAAACTTTCAGGGCTGTTTTTAAATGAAAAAAGATGAAAAATGGCAAGATGGATGTGTGCAGAAGTTTGGGACAGAACAACACAGATTAGAATACTTAACTCCTCCTCTGAAAGGCTTGGGCACAGAGTAAAACAGTAAGTCACATTAAAGAGCTGACAACGTAGTCCCCCCAGACTGTAATGTTTTTGCTGGTTTAACTAGAGGCAGTTCAAAAGATCAATCAGGCTTCCATCCCACTCTCCAGAAATGGACACTCTGTTGAGGGGAATGAAAAATAAATAGTTACAAAATAAGCAACAAAATGGTGTCACCAGAGAAATGACAATTAGGAGTTATGGGAGCTCAGTAAATAGAGCAGCTCTTCTGAGTTCTATGAAGCAAAATTATTTCTGATTTTTTTTACTGCATGTTTTCAACATAACCACATTTCCCAATTGCCTCTATTATCAAATTGAAATTTCTAAAGCTCTCTGTGCCTTATCCATGCTATTTATTCTCTATTCTCTCAATCTTACAATCGAAGTGGGAAAGCCTTTTTATTGAGAACTACTCTATCTAACAAACCTCCAGAACCCAGGGAAAGCATAACTAAGGATTCATATTTGCAGGAAGAAACAAGTTTATTTCATTTCACTAAAAAGAAAGGGATCAAAATAAACCATGGGACACAGCGAGAAACGTAGATAAGCGCCCCAAGCAGCTAGCAGACGACTGGAATCTGAACCCAGGGCTGTCTGATTCCAAAGCCCATACTCTTTCAATTTTGTAGCCTGTCTCAAATATAAATGCACATTTAAACTGACTATCAAAGGAGAGAAAGGTACCCATGGGGAAGAGAACATTCAGTTTACAAGAAAGAGGTGATTGTTGGTGGAGCAAGTCGCCTGGAAGAACCAGAGAAACCCTAGGCACACCCAAAACCAGCAACGTCCACAGAGACGCTGTAAGAGCCTAATGCAAACAGAGGCAGGGCCAGTCTCATGTAACTGCAGAAACATACAGACTCTTTTAAAAATAATTGCCTCATTTTTGGTCTTTAGTGAAATCATCATTTTCTTGTATTTTCTACATCTAAAGAATAAATGGCACCCTTTCCCCTCTTCCTGGTTTTGCCCTGTGGGAAGGAGAAATTGCATCCAGAGCTGATCTCACCCAGGCTGCAGGTTCCGATTCCTGCCCCCACCCGCACCCCCGACTTCCAGTCCCATTCCACCCAAAGACCCCGCCCGCTTTCACTCCCACCTCATGCATCTCATCTGCTCCTGCCGTCATGCTTCACTAACATCATTGGGTCTGTCAGCCTAATCCACATCAATCTGTTTCCCTTCTTCTTTTTTGTTTAAAGATTTTTTTCTTGTGATGAGAACTTTATTTAATGCTTTTTGGTGAGGAAGATTGGTCCTGAGCTAACATCTGTTGCCAATCTTCCTTTTTTTTTTTTTCCTCTCCAAAGCCCCCATATGTAGTTGTATATCGTAGTTGTAAGTCATTCCAGTTCTTCTGTGTGGGATGCCACCTCAGCATGGCTTAATGAGCTGCGCATATGTCCATGCCTAGGATCCAACCTGTGAACCCCAGGCCACCCAAGCAGAGCGCACAACCACCCACTCAGCCACTGGCTGGTCCCTGTGTCCCTTATTTTTGTCTTTTTTTTCTTTCTTTCCTTTTTCTCCCCAAAGCCCCCTGGTACATAGTTGTATATTATTTTAGTTGTGGGTCCTTCTAGTTATGGCATGTGGGATGCCGCCTCAGCATGGCCTGATGAGCGGTGCCATGTCCGCGCCCAGGATTCGAACCGGCAAAACACTGAAGCGGAGTGCGAGAACTTAACCACTTGGCCACAGGGCCGACCCCCTGAGTCCCTTCTTAAAACTGCTGAAACACCATTTTTTCTTTGAAGCTTTCATGGACCTAATCTCACTGAGTCAAATCGGAAGAGTTGATTGGTGTTCTAACCACAGCCATTAGCAGTGAATATTCCTATGCAGATTTTAATTGTCTTGTTCTCATGAATAGATGCTTATATTTGACTTGACTTTTTAAAAATTCCTTACAGTTATGCATTCAGTAAATGTCACTGACTGTCTCATTGACTGCCCAGCTTAATCACAGCCATCCAGCTAGACAGATGACAGACAGCTGATAGACAGATGATAGCTAGCTAGCTAGCTAGCTAGCTAGAGCTAGAATACAAATGTTAACCAAAGCTAAGCACATTTTTAAAACGTAGAGATCTTTGAGCTTGGAGATAATGCTGTTTCACAGTCGATTTACTGTAGTACTGTGAGAACAATTTGCCATAAACATCAAAGTAATGTTATATGCTTTTTTCTCTCTTTTCTCCAAAGAAATGCACAGTGGGATATGTAAAATGTCAGAAATAATTAGACAAAATAGCACAATCCCATTGTGACACTAAAATACCTCTGGAGTTGAATATCTGCTGTGAAACTTTCAAATCTGGTTTGAAGGCTGCTTATTATAAACAATATAATTTTTTCTTTAATGTAATGGTCCCAGAATTTAAAGCAATATAATGTGAACATAAGTCTCCAAATGTAAAAAAGCCTTTTTATATATAAACATACACATAAAATATACATAAATATTTTGTACATAAATATATATATAAAAGAATAAATATAATAAGAAAGTAATTCAGGTGGCAAGATAGACTTAAAATTTGGTAACGTCTTCAGCAGAAGGAGTTTGGGAACTTTGAAAAAAAAGTATTCTTTCAGGACTAAGGTAAAGATGAAGTTTACAATCAGAGAGGAAAAGGAAAATCGTATCAAAAATATGTAAAGAATTTAGGAATGCCAAAACATTATTGTTTTTCTGAAAAGAATATGGCTTTTTCATTCATTAACCAGTAGCGTACTGTTTTCCAGGAACCCACCATTCAGAAGAAATACTGGGGTGCTTCCCTCTACCCACACAAAATGGAACACAAGAGACTACATAGCTGAAGAAGTTATAGCCTCCTTACAAATGAGAGACATTCAAGTCTAAGTAGTCTCCAGCTAAAGATAAATAACCAACAGCTTCTCCACAGCATAGATTGGAACGGGGAAAACATGAACATCACTAACTGTACCACAGAAGCCAGCGTGGCTGTGAGACCCAAGACCGTCACTGAGAAGATGCTCATTTCCATGACCCTGGTGATCATCACCTCCCTGACCATGTTGCTAAACTCAGCCGTGATCATGGCCATTTGCACCACCAAAAAGCTCCACCAGCCTGCCAACTACTTGATCTGCTCTCTGGCTGTGACGGACCTGCTGGTAGCAGTCCTGGTGATGCCCCTTAGCATCATGTACATTGTCATGGACAGCTGGAAGCTAGGGTACTTCGTCTGTGAGGTGTGGCTGAGTGTGGACATGACATGCTGCACCTGCTCCATCCTCCATCTCTGTGTGATTGCCCTGGACAGGTACTGGGCCATCACCAACGCTATTGAGTATGCCAGGAAGAGGACCGCCAAGAGGGCTGGACTGATGATCCTCACCGTCTGGACCATCTCCGTCTTCATCTCCATGCCCCCTCTGTTCTGGAGGAGCCACCGCCGACTCAGCCTGCCCCTTAGTCAGTGCACCATCCAGCATGACCACGTCATCTACACCATTTACTCCACACTTGGGGCATTTTATATCCCCTTGACTTTGATACTGATTCTCTATTACCGGATTTACCACGCAGCCAAGAGTCTTTACCAGAAAAGAGGATCAAGCCGGCACTTAAGCAACAGAAGCACAGACAGCCAAAATTCGTTTGCGAGCTGTAAACTTACACAGACTTTCTGTGTGTCTGACTTCTCCACCTCAGACCCCACCACAGAGTTTGAAAAGATCCACACCTCCATCAGGATCCCTCCCTTTGACAATGATCTCGATCATCCGGGAGAACGCCAGCAAATCTCTAGTACCAGGGAGCGCAAGGCAGCACGCATCCTGGGCCTGATTTTGGGGGCGTTCATTTTGTCGTGGCTGCCATTTTTCATCAAAGAGTTGATTGTAGGTCTGAGCATCTACACCGTGTCCTCCGGAGTGGCTGATTTTTTGACATGGCTTGGTTATGTTAATTCTCTGATCAACCCTCTGCTCTACACAAGTTTTAATGAGGACTTTAAGCTGGCTTTTAAAAAGCTCATTAGGTGCCGAGAACATACTTAGACTGTAAAAAGCCAGAAGGCATGACTTTTACCAGCCTCGAGAGTGGACGGGGGTAAGGGGTGCCACTCATTAATTCTCGAACATAATTGGTTCAGGAGAGTTTGTAAGTATGTGTGGTCTTGGTTTTTGTTTGTCTGTTGTGTTCTGTTTTGTTGGAGGCTTGTTCTTTCGTGTATTGTTTTCTACCTCTGCTCTTATCTGTGGTACTTAATTTCAAATAAACGTTATCATACAAAAACAGAATTTCATGGAAGTCATAATAAGGTGAAACAGTGAATACTTTTTTTTAGCCATTTCAATTAAAAAATGCAAAAATAAATCTTTATTTGCAGAATTTCTTATTACTTATAATTCAAATATCTGATAATTTGCCCCTGTGTGGCATTAAATCTGAGATCATGTCTCCAAATGCTTACAAATTCCCCTGGGAATTGCATGATTACATAAAGCATAAAAAAAAAAGTGATGTGCTGTCATCTACTGCTTGCAGACCTGAACTAAAGTCATTTACTATGACTAAATAGCCCACTCCTTTCAGGCACAGATAGTACAGCTGGCATGCCCTTTTTAGTTCGCAATTAAATACGCTTCCTCATTCTCTAAAAAGAACCTAGAATGAATGCATGGGCATTTTCCTAGGTCTTTGACTATGAATATGAAACATAAGCAAATAAGATTATAAAATAATAATCTAAATTGGTCGATGTGTTGTTGTGTTTCCTGACAGACACATTGGGCCTCTTCCAATTCTGAGTCCCAGCTAAGCCTCGAACACACTCTCTCTCCAGCAGGATTAAAGTGGGAGTGCACGTCAAATTTGGAGAACTTTTAAAGCAGCTTAATGGAGTACAGTCATCAAACGAGGGAATATATTATCTGAAGAACTTTCTTGGAGAATGTTACGCATTAAATTACCGGTTTTGCACTTGGAAAAAAAATTAAAAGTTGACAATCGATGTTTACAGCAGAGGCCACCCAGCAGGAAATGAGGATGGAATTGTGTCTCCTGGAATCCCTGTAGCTTCCACACTAGACTGCACCCTGGGGCCAGGAGACTGCGGGGGGGACCCGAGGCCACACGGTGCATGGCCGGACTCAGCCTCAGCTGACCTGGAGTGACCGCTCTAGTCATGTGGAGGAACTCACGACTAAGTCAAGAGTGATGAGAGAAAGGACTGAAAGTCTGTAAATTCTTGCACACTCCTAAATAAGTGACTGTTCTAAACATCTGCTCCTCATCTCTCCTCCACAGCCCCGTCCGTCTCCTCACTGTCCACAGATCGTCTCTCTTTGTTTACTGAGAAGACATTGATTTGCCCTCTCTCCATCTCCACCTTTTAGCCCTTAAATCTATCCCCTCTCAACTTTTTACTAACTTTGCTTCTTCCTCTCTCTCTGTCTTATTTTTGCTCTCCTTCTTACCCCCTTCTCTCCCCACTCTTCTTTAATCTCACCTACTAATTTGCTCAAGTCTCTTGGACACTAGAATAAACTTCCTCTGGCCCTACTTTGCTCTCAAGCTCTTGCCTCATCTCTCTCCTAACTCCCTCCCTTGAGTCTCTCCAATCATCAATCCAGTCGCTCTGCCTTCCCTTCTCACCTTCCACTGACTTTTCTATTCTTTACCATCTGAATGTGCCCCTCCCAGTCCTCCCAAAACTGCTCTCCCAAAGGTCGTTGATGACTTGCCAATAGGCAAATCTGGTGGCGTTGCCTCTGTCCGTATCTACTTCCCATTCTCACATCAGCTAAAACAGCTAGCCATCCCTTTCTTGTTTAAGCCCTTCACTTCCAGGATACTTTACTCTCCAGGTTCTCCAACTACCTCCTATTCTTCACCTCCTTTTCTTCATCCTGGGGCTTTGTCCTTAGCTCTCATCTCCTGTGTATTCATACTCCATCCCAACCTCCATCATTTCAACAATTAGTTCCATGCCCATGGTTCTTAAAAGTGCGTCTTTAGTTCTCAAACTCCAGACCCATGAATTATGTCTGGTGAACATCTCCCTATGAATACTCTGTCAATGCCTCAAACAACCTTTCTAAACTGAACTCAAGATCATTTTCCCACTCTCAAACCTTCTCCTCCTTCCACCTTCTCAGTCTCAGATAACAAGATGACCATGCTTTTTGTCATTCATGTTAGAAAAATGTGACTCTCTTTGTGGCTTGTCTCTCACAGACAGTCTTACAGTCTTGTCCATTTGCCTCTACAGAAATGTTTGTGTATGCTCCCTTCTTCTCCAATAATTTGATTCTCTCACCCAGACCAATCTTACCTGATCCACCTACCACTGGACTCGTCAAGCTGCAACTCTGCTCCCACACACCTGCCAGATACATCTTCCTAGGACAGTGGTGCTCAGAGTGGCATCTCCAGACCGGCAGCATTAGCATCATAGTTCCCAAGTGAACTTATCAAAAATGGAAATTCTAGGGCGCCACTGAAGACCTACTGCAGAAATTCTGAGAGTAGGGGGCCCATCAATCTCTGTTCTAACAGGCCCTCCAGGAGACCTGGTGCACTCTAAAGTGTGAGAAGCACTATCCTAGACCTGCTGATTTTTAATTGCAGTACTCAAATCCTCCACTGTTTCCTCGTCAGTATAAAATAAATTAAGATTCCTTAGTATAATATTCACGGCTCCTTCACTATGTGGCCTCACATTACCTTTCCAGGGTTATATCTCGTCACTCTTCTGACCCACCTCATACTCTTCATACTGTGTTTTCTGAGCTCCTCTAACATTTGTTCCCACTGCTCCAGAAGCTTGACCCCATGGCTTCCCATCCTTCTTCCACCAATCCTTCCTCATGTAGCTCAAGTGCAATCTCTTCTGTAAAGTCTTCCTGAGATCCTCCTTTCTGCTCTGTTACTAAGGAAGTCCTCTCTCCAGGCTCTATGCTCCCATTGAACCTCATTTGTATCTCTATTATTATATGCATCCCATCTTGCAGTGCATTTCATTGTGTATTTCTCCTGTCTACCCTAGTAGATTGTGAGCTCCTTGAGGGCAGGAACTGTGTCTGTTTCATCTCTGTATCCCTATGAACTCCCACAGTGTTTTACACACAGTAGGCACTTGATAAATGTCTGTTAATGTGAGTGGAATTATGTCCCTGGAAAAGAAAATATAAATGTGCCGTCTTCTTTCAGTGAGAAAACCAAACTTCTAAAATCCTATGGTGCAATATTGACTTCTTTCTTTCCCAAAAGTTACCCTACCATTCCCAGCTTTGTTCCCAAAAAAGCTAGGAAATACTTCCACGTGGAAAGAAAGTGGATTTCTCATTGAATATAAATGAATGTCCTTTATTAGTTAGGATTCAGGTGAGGCTGCTCTCAAAGAAGAGACCCCAAAATATAGTAGTATAAATGAGGTAGTTTCTTTCTCTCTGACCTGAAAGTCAAGAGGTGGAAGGGCATCCCAAGGTGAGTGGGGGACTCTGCTCCACAATATTATCCAAGGACTCAGGTTCCTTCCATCTTGTGGCTCTGTCCTGCCCACAAGGCTTATCCCATCTGCATGGCAAAAGCTGACATACCATCACATCCACATTCCAGTCCATAGGAAGGGAGAGAAGCGGAGAGCAAACCATTTCTTTTTAAGGCAGTTATGTGGAAATTGTACACATCACTTCTGCTTATATTCCATTGACAATAACTTGGTCCCATGACCACCCCAAGTTGCAAGAGAGAACAGGGGAGTAAATCTCTAGCTGGCCAGCCATGTGCCTTGCTGAAATTGAGGACCTTATAATAAAAGGAAGAAGAGAATGAATGCAAGGGGAGAATGAGCAGTTCTGCTGCAAAGAGATATTGGTTTCTGAATGTGCAGCTCAAATATTACCGGACAAGTCAAACTGGCTCCCCAGCCAGTGGTGATCTGTATACAAAGATCTGAGATTTAAATTACGGGTGATTTGACTGAGATTGTACATGTGCTGAAAATCTGGAATTTGTCATGACTATAATATGTAGAAATTATATGAGCAACTCCCTTGCTTTTCCATCATCCTCCACATATCATTGAAAATTCTTGGCAATTATAAGAGTTTTAAAATTTTAAGAGTCTAAGTAAATAAAAAACAAAGAGAAAATGCATAACGGATTTTCACTTACTCATTTTCACTAACTCATTTCCTACTACATAAGTCGTAATTAAATGCGTTTCTCTCACCTCTACCTACCTCTGCCCTTAGCAAAGAAAAATCTGTATATATTTCCTAGTATAAAACAAACCTGTTGGAAAAAAATCTGTTATTTGGTTTACTCATTTAACCGTTAGCACTAGCTGCTATTGACCACTATTGCCCTTTTAAAGATTTTATTTTTTCCTTTTTCTCCCCAAAGCCCCCCGGTACATAGTTGTGTATTCTTCATTGTGGGTTCTTCTAGTTGTGGCATGTGGGACGCTGCCTCAGCGTGGTCTGATGAGCAGTGCCATGTCCGCGCCCAGGATTCGAACTGACGAAACACTGGGCCGCCTGCAGCGGCGCGTGCGAACTTAACCACTCGGCCACGGGGCCAGCCCCCACTATTGCCCTTTTAAATTAAAACTTGCGTGAAGTAACAGTATCTTCTGATATGGTCAGTTTTTCCAGCATTGACACATTAAAAGTAAACCCCAGTGGTGACATTTCAGTCACCTGCATTAACTGATAAGTTAGGACTTCCCAGTTTGTGTACTTGGTGAAAGAATCCTTGGAGGTAAGTCACTCCTTCGTAGACCCAGTAAATGCTTTGGTTATGACAAGTGGCAATAAGAATCCCTCTTAGCATTGCTACCACTCTCTGCTTAAGATAATGCTTAGGCCTCCTATCCTTATGAATTTCAGTTTGAAAACTCTGATAATTATGTGCAAGGTAAGTTCCAGAGCGAGGTCCAGCAACCGTGCTGGTAACCAGCACAAGTCATTTTAGGTTCAACCATCACATTGGTCTCAGTCTACAAATGTGTATTTGCTGTGCTTGCTTAGTTTTTAAGGTCTACTATACACAACTTTTAACTTCATTGTGTACAGTATTTGCAAAAGCTGTGAAAGCATCAGGAAAGTAGTGGAAAGAAGCATGTGAGTATAATAGAAATACAAGTAAAGGTAATTTTTTTAATTAAAACTGCTGAGAAAAATGACAACCATTGCATATGAGAGTGAGATCAAATCTTATTTAGTTGTCAAGGGCCACCATCTGCAACATGTGAAAAAGCGCTGTGCCTAAATTACTGACTACAATCAGCAGGAAATGAGGAGAAGTGATTAACAAAATGGGAAAAT